TTTTTGCCCTTGTTGGCACTCTGGGCACTGCCCCATGAATGCAGCTATGTCTCCATCCAGTCCTGGCCACCAATCATAAGTTCTCGCCAATATCTTCATTTTAGAAACCCCTGGGTGACCCTGGTGGAGTTCAGCCAGTATCTGGTGGCGACCTTTGCTCGGGACAATCACTGTCGCTCCCAATAATAAGATGTCGTCATCTGCTGTGATCTGGTCTTGCCAGATCCAAAAAGGTTTCTGCGCTGGTTGTGTCAGCAGTTTGGTTTCCACCATCACCACCAGCTGTTTCAGTTTTTCCAGGGCCCAATCTTCCTGGGTCCAACGTCTTATATTCTCAGCTGTGTCTGGAAGTGGTCCAGAAAATTTAGTCCCACCGTTGTTGTATCTGCCAGAAAGATGTGATCAATGCTACTTTGCCTCCCAGACAGTGTTCCAACTTGTAGTTATGAGCACTTAGTATTGCAGCCTACCACTGGAATCTGTCTGAAGCTATTGGTGACACTGCCTTGTTCCCTTTAAGTAGATTGGGCAGGGGTTTGTTGTCCATTATTATTACAAATTTATCTCCGTAAAGGTATTGGTGGAACTTCCTGACTTCAAATAAGACTGCCAAACCTTCCTTCTCTATCTGGGTGTATTTACGCTCTACATTAGCCAAAATCCTGGTGCATACACTACTAGGTGTTCCTCTCCATGTATGAGCTAATACTATCCCGATACCATACGCAGAGACATTTCATATCAATACCAGATCTGCCTTGGGATCATAGTGTGCCCAGCACCTTAGAGGATGATAGCTGTTTCTTCACTTCCCTGAAAGCTATGGCTGGGCCACACGACCATTTCAAAGGCTGACCCTTCTTCAAGTGTTGATGCAAATGTGCCAGGATGGAGGCCAGGTTACGGATGAACTTTCCGTAATAATTCACCAGCCCAAGGAAAGACGTCTGCTCCAGTACAGACGTGGGAGCTTGGTCACCGATTTATCTTCCACTTTATCTTCCAACAGGTGTAACCCAGTCTTGTTGACTCTCGAGACCAACTAATTCATTTGGAATGTCTGGAACACACATTTTTCCTTCTAAGGCATATGCTGGCCTGGAAGAAGCAGCTAAGGACTATGCCCAAGTTCTCTAAGTGCTCCTTATTGGTCTTCCCTGTTATTAGCATGTCATGCAGATAAATGGTGATCTGGAGTAGACCTTGTAAAATGTTCTGCATCGTCTGCTGAAAAATTGCACAGGCAGGCAACACCCCAACTGGCAATCTTGTATATTGGTACAAACCCTTATGGGTATTAATTGTAGCATAGTTCTGGGAATCCTCATCTAACTGCAGTTGCAAGTATGCATGGCTCATGTCCAGCTTTGTGAAGGACAGCCCCTGCCAGCTTTGCGTATAAACCCTCTATGTGAGGGATTGAGTATTTATCCAGCTGCAAAAAGCACTTTAACATTTGTTTAAAATCCCCACAAAGGTGAACCGACCTGTTAGGCTTCACAATCAGTATGACCGTTGCAGCCTATTCCACAAACTGGACTGGTCTGACGATTCCTTTGCTTTGCAACCTTCTGATTTCTGCCTCTACTTTTGCCCAGAAGGCAAATGGCACTGGGTGGGCCTGGTGGAATCGTGGAATTGCTTCCTGGTCAACATGCAAGGTGGCCTTGGCTCCTTTGATAGTCCTTAGACCTTGCTGAGAAACCTCTGGGTATTTAATTAGGACTTCACTCAGGCAGCTGTTTTCCAATCGAGAACTATTGAGCCAATCTAGGTGAATCTTTCCCAACCAATTTTGCCCCATCAAGTTTGGGCCTGAGCCTTTTGCTACAATCAGTGGTAACTGAACCAGCTTCTTCTCATAAGAGACCAAGACCGAATTTGTAC